CGAGCTTTTTATAGTAGTGATACCAGGTGGCTCATTGGAAATGGTAGAAACATAAACTTATGGAATCATGACTTGACCTATGTCAATCTGGGCTCTTATTTTCAAATCACTAATAATGTTCTTCAAAGTTTACAAGTAAAGGTCTTTGATTTCATTGTCCTATCTAAATGGAAAATTTCTTTGGAGATTCAATGTATGTTCCCTAATATCCAAGCCCTAATCTATAACATAACTATCCCTTTGCTTCCTTGTGAATTAAAGTTAGTTTGGAAGCACACTACTTCAGGTAGCTTGTCTCTAAAAGATGCCTACACTTTCTGTTCACTCTTACTTTGCCGAAGCCTTAGACCAACATCATTTGGAATCAAACAAGCTCCCATTACAGATCTACAATGGTTTGGAGATTGATACACAATAAGCTTCTAAATGATGATAATATCATGCTCAGAGGATGTCAAACTCCCTATGTTTATAGTCTTTGTCATTCTGTTACAGAGACTTCGCATCATCTCTTCTTTAATGCATTATGGCCAAAAAGTTATGAAGCCTCCTTCAAAATATCATAGGCAAGCCCATTGACATTTCATCCTTCTAATATACCTTAAAGATCATAAAGGGAGGATGGAGACCTCAATTTTCTTTAGCCACCACTGCAACAATTTCCTACATCATCAATAACATTTGGAAAGCAAAAAAAAAAAAACATTAGGTTCCAGGGCAAAAGACTCAATATCAATCAATGCATTTCCAACATCATAGTGGTTACCTCTGGCTCGGGAAACCTCTCCAACTTTTGCACATGTCCCTCTACAATTGACTTTCAAATTCTCAAATGTTTAAATATCAAAGTTCACCTTCTAAAGGCTCCAAAAATTCTGGAAATATTTTAGCATCCTCCTTACATGAATTGGCTAAAACGTAACACAAATGGGGCAACAAAAAGGAGCCTAGGTTCTACTTCTTATGCACGAGTCTTTAGGAATAATTGTGGTGATTTCATAGGTGGATTTTCCACACCTCTTGGTGTTCAAATTCCCTTTTTATTGAGATCGTGTCCATCATTCTTACCATTGAGAATGCTCATGACAAGTGTTGGAACTTCATCTGGATCGAAACCAATTCCATGCTTGCTGCTATGGAATTTAAGAATTTCAACATCATTCCATGGCAACTTCACAACAGATGGCATAATTATTTGTTAATTACTAGAATCATGAACTTCTTCATTCCTCACGTTCATAGGAAAGGAAATCATTGCATTGACAAACTTGCAAATTTAAAATTGTCATTCACTGATTTCACTTGGTGGGGTCAACCCCCAATCATCATCAGGTCCTTTTTAGTGGAGAAAAAGTTGGGGCTTCAAATTATCGTTTTTGCTAGTTTTTATTTGTGGCCTTTGTTGGTTGTTTTGGTTTGAGTTTTGGCATAGTCTTCTCTTTCTTTGTTCCTTTTTTTCATTTCAATGCATGCTGATTATTTATAAAAAAAATGTTCCTATCACTATCGTCGATCTATCTTACAATTTTTTTTGGATACATCGCAAGTGAGAAAGAATCGAGCAAGTGAATTATGTGAGTTTTAAAGACAAATATTCTACCATTTCCCTTAAAAATAGACTCTTTTAAATCAAGTCCAATTTAAATTACATCGGTCTATTAAAATTTTAACACCACATAACCATATATTTATACAACAATAACAACCAAGCCTTATCCCACTAGGTAGGGTCGACTACATGAATCAACTTCCACCATAATATTCTATCCAAGACATGTTTTTATCTAAATTATTAAGCTCGAGATATTTCTAAATAACTTCTCTTATAGTTTTCCTTGGTATTCCTCTATCGCTAACTATTTTATCCTTCTCCATCTAATATACTCTCCTTACCATAGAATCTAAAGGTCTTTTCTCTACATGTTCAAACCACCGAAGTCTATTCTCCATCATTTTTTTCACTATAGGTGCTACCCTGACACTCTCTCCTAATATAGTCATTTCTAATCTTATTATGTATAGTCTTACCGCACATTCAATGCAACATCCTCATCTTTTCTACACTTACTTTAGTCTCGTGTTGATTCTTAAGCGTCCAACATCCTGTCCCATACAACATCGCAAGTCTTACCGCAGTTCGATAAAACTTTTCCTTCAACTTGAGCGATACCTTTCTATCACATAAAATCCATGAAGCCCTCAAACCTCTCGTTTAAATCCTCCTCCGACTCTTCCAGTAAGACTATATCATCTGCAAAAAAAACATGCATCTCAGTGCTAGCTCTTGGATGTACTCCATGAGTACATCCAAAATTAAAGTAAAAAGATAAAAACTTAAGATTGAAGCTTGATACAAACCTATTATAATAGAAAAATCAACCATCTCTATACCTTGTGTCTGTACATTAGTCGATACTCATCCATACTCTTTCATAAATAATCATATACTTATATTATGATAAATAATGTAGCACAAGCTAAAAATATGAAAACAAACCCACATGAATTTGGAACATGGATATTTTAGTGGTGGCCCACATAGATAACATCTAATTTTATATTAAACTTTTATATTAAATTTAATTAATTATTAAAATCATTATAAAACCAATTTATAAGGTGAGAGTATTTCATTTTTGTAGACCTTATCTATCATGTTGTTTGTACATTTAAAAATTTATATCTATATATTCTATCACAGTTGATAATTACTTATGAAGTTTCATTTATATATTAATTTTCTCATGAATAGATAAACTTACAAATCGATTAATTTGTAACATAATGCTTTTAAATATCATTATTTATCCATATATCAAACGGTGCAACCTTTGACTCCATGTTAATTTTAAAAATCAAGAGAAGTAAGAACAATTTTCTTTTCAACTAACTAATCTCAACGACAGAGTAATCTTAACTGACTCTTTAGATTCAATGAACACAAACAATTGAAAATCATTAAATTAAACATAGTTATGTAATAGCTAATAGACAGCACATATTGACAATGAAACACATGCTCTTTAGTTATTATCTTGCAGATACACATATAGCAATAAGAGTGATGTGAGATTCAAGGAGAGTTAATTCATGTTTGCATTGATGGCAAGTTTCACAAAATTAAGGTTGTTTTAAGTGTGTATATTCGATCCAATACCATAATTTTATTTTTTGATTTTTTATTTACCAAATTAGACTATGATATAATTTGTTAAAATATCTAGAAGACACGACTGATCGATACTTCATAATAAAAATAAGTCGTTACATTTTCATCTCACATTTTTTAAAATATCTGAAAAGACAGAACCGACCCATATTTTAGAATCTTAAAAAAGAATCATCACATATTTTTTATATATAAAATATTTTATTCATTTATAATCGATATCGAACTAACCAATTACGATTCAACCATGAGACATTGAGGCATACACTTATTGATTAAGTGGTTTATCTTTTATATATGTAATTGTACAAAAGAACAAAATAAAACAATGGAATCTCTTGATGGACCCTGCTTAGTTGAACAAACCGTTAAGTGGCCTTGTCTCATCTATGAAGCAAACAACTTTATTTTGACATTAAGCAATTTAGGTACCTCTAATACTGATGAAAAATTTCTTATAAATCAAGGTTGAACATTGAAGGACTCTAATGGACTTTTGGCTTTTGGTTTGCATACAAAACCTAATCCTTGTTAACTGTCCAAAGACAACCTTGTCTAGGAGCAAACACTGTGTCCCTTAACACTACAAACTGTGATTATTGTCTAAAATATATCACTTTTGGATTATCCTTATACTCCTGTCTTTTAGCATACACGTAAATTAGAATTTATAATCATTTGCTTTTTCTCTTTCATTGGAGGAAAAAGAAAAACAAATTTCTAATGCCTCTAAATCTTCTAAATTTGATATGACCCCTCGTCACAAAATCATATCTTTTGTTATATATTTCGATAAAAGATATTATTGAAAAATGTTATATCTTGAAATATCTTGTTATATCAACCTTCCAAAGTGTTATATGGCCCCTCATCTATGAAAAATAACACTTTATTGAAAACTACTACTAATTAAACTATTATAATTTAAATCATAAATTTCTTTTATAAGATTCATCATTTACTGTATCATATAATTCAATGCAAGAAGACATGTATAATATTTGGTTCGAATAAATTCACGTAGACACAACTATAATAATTTTTTTTTATTTTTTTATATTATTTATTGTGTTTCTCCTCGATTCGAATGATTAGTCTCTACAATTATACACAAGATGTTAAAGTTTAATTTAACACTAAATTTCAATCGTTAATAATACTCGATCAAACAGTGATATAAATAGTCTATTTTTTAAGAAATAAAATAGATTATATATATTTTTTATTATTTTATTTCATTTAATATGATTGTTTGATCAATTCTTTTAACGGTTGAGATTTAATATATATATATATATATATATATATATATATATATATATATATATATATATATATATATATATATATATATATATATATATAATTGAATTAAAAAAGATATTGATATCTTATATATCATGTCATATATACTATATGATATGATTTAGGCCGGTCGATATTAAATGTTTTAGCCTCTCCAAAAGTGCCTAAAGACACTAGCACTCATTCAAATGCTATAAAATGCAACACAACCATTTGCAAAAACCCTCTCTATTATATTCTCCTAGACTCTTTCTCTTTTACACCTTCCAAATCTTGTCTCTAAACCATTCCATTTCTTGATATAGAAACTACGTGTCATCAAAATTGTAACCTGAATTAAAATCCAGAATATCTAGTAGTTTCAATCAAAGACAGAAAAGAACGAAACATCAACAACATGATGACCAATCCACTTATCCAAAAAAACACAAACATAGAGAATCCATTTCCAACAATACAAATCCAAAAAACCCATCTTAGAGCTACCTTCAAAGAAGTTATTTCTATATCCAAAATTGCTTTTCCCATGATCTTCACCGGTCTCTTACTATATTGTCGTTCAATGATCTCCATGCTCTTTCTAGGCCACCTCGGGGAACTCGCCTTAGCCGGCGGTTCCCTCGCGGTCGGCTTTGCTAACATTACCGGTTACTCGATCCTCTCCGGTCTCGCCGTAGGAATGGAACCTATTTGTGGACAAGCCTTTGGTGCCAAAAGGTTCACTCTTCTTGGTCTATGCCTACAAAAAACCATTCTCTTACTACTCTTAACCTCCATCCCCATTTCAATACTTTGGCTTTACACAAAACATATCCTTCTTTTATGTGGCCAAGAAGAATCTATAGCAACACAAGCTCAATCGTATCTTCTATATTCCATTCCCGATCTCTTAGCACAATCCTTTTTACACCCTTTAAGAATTTACCTTAGAAGCCAATCCATTACTCTCCCTCTAACCCTTTGTGCTACTCTAGCAATTTTCCTTCACATTCCTATAAACTACTTTCTCGTTTCTCACCTCAACATGGGAATCAAAGGTGTTGCCTTAAGTGGAGTATGGACAAATTTCAACCTTGTAGCTTCTTTGATTCTCTACATAGTTTTCTCTGGCACACACAAGAAAACATGGGGTGGTTTCTCATCACAATCTTTCAAACAATGGAAATCACTTCTCAATTTAGCGATACCAAGTTGTCTTTCCGTTTGCCTCGAATGGTGGTGGTACGAAATCATGATCTTGCTATGTGGTTTGTTGATCAACCCAAGAGCAACCGTTGCTTCTATGGGAATCTTGATTCAAACCACTTCATTACTTTACATTTTTCCATCATCAATAAGTTTTAGTGTCTCCACTAGAGTTGGTAACAAACTAGGAGCTCAAAAGCCATCAAAAGCTAAACTTTCCGCCATAGTAGGACTCTCATGTAGCTTCATTCTAGGACTATTTGCTTTGGTTTTTGCCACAATGGTTAGAAATATTTGGGCTACAATGTTCACTCAAGACAAAGAGATAATCAAAATCACATCTTTGGTTTTACCCTTAATAGGGCTATGTGAGCTTGGAAATTGTCCACAAACAACAGGTTGTGGGGTGCTAAGAGGAACAGCAAGACCTAAAGTAGGCGCAAATATCAATTTTGGTTCTTTTTACATTGTTGGAATGCCTGTGGCAATTTGGTTAGCTTTTTATGTTGGGTTTGATTTTCAAGGACTGTGGCTTGGGTTGCTTGTGGCACAAGGTACATGTGCTGTGACTATGTTGGTGGTTTTGAGTCAAACGGATTGGGATTGTGAAGCACTAAGAGCTAAGAAATTAACTGGATTAGGATCAACAAGTGATGTTAATGTTGTTGATGACAGCAAACAAGTTGAAGCTGAGAAGTTACTTAAACCTGAAATTAAGGAAGATTCTTCTTAATCATTAGCTGACTCGGATTATTTAGATAATTAATCACGGGTCTAACTTTGATTAGCTCGTTTTTTTGTAACCAAAAAAACAAGACATGTTTTTTAGGAATTTTTCTTTGCTGTAACTTGTAAGAGGAAGAGAGGTAGAGACAGAGGCATAGATACCTTTTCTAATTTTGTATAATTTTAGATCAAAAGTGTTGAATGTGGATTAAGGAATTTTTACGTAATTATCTTTAATACCATTGTTCATGATAATCATTCATTCACAAATGCACGTAACGTACAAGTATTAATTATTTAGTTACAAATTTGTTTTATTAGGATTGTCAAAATAGAGCACTTATATCTTGTAAATTCTTAGGGTAGATAACTTATAATTTCATATGATTAAAATATATTTGTTTGATATGTTGGAAGATACTAACCTTTAACCTTTTGTTATACTATTAGTTAGCTTTCCTAATGTTGTTAGCACGTGTTTAGTTAGATTGTTAAGTCATTTATAGTGTAATGCCAAAGAAAATAAAGTACCTAACTATCACCCTTTCTAACCATCTTTTTGATAATAAATGAATTCATTTCAAATGCATTATGTGTTTAATTATTTAGTTAACTCAATATAGAGAGTAATATAGTATTAGACAATCAAATCTAATCTTTTCCCTTTCCACCTATTATTCAGTTTTCAATTTCTTATTTCTTCTTCAATCGTCTTTGATCTTTTTTCATGGAAGATGTAAGATGCATGGTACATCAACCAAAGTGATACCCATTTCAATAATGAGAAGATGAAAGGATGACGTTTCAGAGTACCATCTCTCAATGAAGGCCGATAGAATCCTATCCTACAAACATCCTTAAGCGCAAATGCTTCTATGATTCTAGAAATTATACTTCATCTAACTATTGCAGTTGTAATACCTTCCAATCATGGTTAATATACCTAAGTGTATCATGATCACTGCCAAAATTATTACACCACCGTCAGACATTTCTATTAGTGTATAAACATAAATAAGATGTTTACAAGAACAAGTAAATATACGTTTTACCTCTCAATTTCACACACGAGCAACAACATGGCAATCATATATAGAAAGTAGTGATATGTCCTTAAGATCTTCAGAAAATCCTTGAGGTGCGACAGGAATAGGTCCAACAAGAGCATGTACAGAAGCAATAGGTGAACTAGCATAAGACCAATATTTATGAACATAGAACGAAGATGCCTCGATAGTACGAAATGATTGTCTAACTTTACAAGATGATTTCTCTCTCTCTCTCTCTCTCTCTCTCTCTCTCTCTCTCTCTCTCTCGTCTCTCTCTCTCTCTCTCTCTCTCTCTCTCTCTCTCTCTCTCTCTCTCTCTCTCTCTCTCTCTCTCTCTCTCCTCTCTCTCTCTCTCTCTCATCTCTCTCTCTCTCTCTCTCTCTCTGGTCTGAAGCATATTTTGAAAATCGACCTTGTCTGTATATCAGTTATACATTAACAATTATTCTATACTCACAAAATACATATATGGTTAACATATGCAAACATGTCAATCTAAAAACACTCAGAAGTTGATGTGTTATTGTGAGATATTGGATCGAACTATAGTATAGTCGAATGACAGCTTCTTGATTCGACAAGATCTAGGCATGAGGTCGAAGCTGTTCGCATGCTAGGGTGGAAGACCTGCAATGCTGTAATTAAAGTATGTTTAAGTATGCAGTAGTAAAAATGCTAAGATTGTTAGTGTGTCGAATTGGACCTGTTTGTTATGCCCACTTGTTTAAGTTAACTTGTTCTCTAAGTTAGCTTGTAATGAGTCTGTCTGTAAAAGCTCATTAGTTTAGTGTGTTAATTTTATTATAAATAGCATACTAGTCTTTCATCATTGCAACATGCAAATCCTAATTAGGGTGAAAGGGTTATTTGTTATTCTGTAACACTTGTAATCTTGTTTCAAAACAAAAGTAAAGAATGATAGTTTATAACCAATTTGATTGTGTTCTTCTTACTTTTCTCTTTCCCACCCTTGTGGTTTTTTTGCCAAGAAGAAACCTGTTATAATCTGTTATTGGCATCATTTTCACAACAAATTGGTGTGGTAAACATGAAGAATATGCCGTCAACAAAGTATGAGATTGAAAAGTTCACCGGAGTGAATGATTTCGGTCTGTGGCGCTGGAAGATGAAAGCTCTACTAGTTCAACAGGGTTGTTTAGAAATGTTGAAGGGAGCTGCAACCATGGATGTTGCGTTAAAGGATAAGGAAAAAACAACTATGGTAGAGAAAGCCCACAACGCCATCTTATTAAGCCTTGGTGATAAGGTTCTTTGACATGTGTTGAAGGAGATGACGATGTCAGGTCTATGGAAGAAACTCAGAAGTTTGTACAGGACCAAACCGTTGGTAAATCTCCTCTACCTGAAGCAAGCTCTATATTCATTCAAGATGAGTGAAGGCCAAGTTCTGTATGAGCTATTGGATATGTTCAACAAGCCGATTCTTGATTTTAAAAATATCAATGTCAAAATCGAGGATGAGGATCAAGCATTGTTACTATTGTATGCTTTACCCAAAACACATACTCACTTTAAAGAAACTCTCTGGTATGGAACAGAGTCGTCAACCTTTGAAGAAGTTAAATCATCCTTTTACTATAAATATTTGAATGAATAAAAGGAGCACAAGCCATCTTCGACTGGTGAAGGTCTATCAGTTAAGGAGAAATTCACGAAGAGAGATATAAAGTTCGACAAGAAGAATGGTAAAAGTCAGTAGAAGTATTATAGTAGTGATGTATCTTGAAATTCCAACACTTTCAATACAAATGTCAAGACTGATGTCTCAACACAAAACACAATGTCAGGACATATGTTATAACATCATCTGCTGACAGAAACTTGCTTAAAACAGGAGATTATGTAGAAAGATAAATTGCAGAAAATTAAACAACATAATCAATTGTAAACCCAGTTCGGTGCAATGTCACCTACTTTAGGGGCTACCAAGCTAGAAAGGAAATCCACTATGATAATATTAGTTTAAATCCTAAACAATCTCAGTTTACAACTTCTCTCCTAATCCCTACCTTGTGCAGCTTCTACCTAGATACCTCTAGATATGAGAATCCCATCTCACTTCCAATCACCACACTGATACCTACATTCACAAACCTTGTGACTAAATCAAAAGAACCAAATATAATATTACACTTCAAAAAAATAATATTTAGTTTTGCTTAAAAACTTCAACTAATAACAATATTAAACTTTTTTCTTAAAAGCTTATGAGTGAGAACAATAACTTGATAAAATCAAGTAACAATCAGTCAACCTCAATGTATCAAAAGATACATGAATGACATACAAAGAACAAAACACAAAGAATTTAAAATACTCCTAAAGCCCTAATCCTTATGTTGCATCCACAGTTTCTTCAACGTGAATGCTTGCTATTTTAGGTTTATCACGTCCTTATTTATAGACTCTTGCAGTATGGGTTTGGAATCTTCAAATAAAATATAATATTTAATTTTTAAATCAGTTGTAAGATCTTCACATAAAAATAGGAACAAATCTTTTAAAGTTTCCTAAAAAGTCTCAAAGATCCTTTTTAATGAAACCAAATCATGTATGCATTTGTTCCTAATAAATCTCCTTGACCTGCGAAGAATATTGAGATATGTCTAAAAGGATTTCTCAAAAAACAAATCAAATATGTCAAGAGATAAAACACTAGCGCCTGCTGTATAACATGCCAAGATATCAAGACATCTGGCTCAACATCTGTCTGATAAGCATGGCAACAGAACATGTCATCAGTTGGTCAAGATGTTGTAACATCTTTCTCAAAATCAGTCCAAACCATGTTTTAGCAAAATTTGTGCCAAACCTAAAATCATGGATTTAACAATCTCCCATTTGTCAAATTTTAGCTAAAATAACCTTAACATAATTAATCTGGAGAGAGGAATAAAGCCAGAACACAAGCAACATGCAAACATGTAAAATTTGTACAAACTGCAATATATATATATATATATATATATATATATATATATATATATATATATATATATATATATATATATATATATATATATATATATATATATATATATATATATATATCAGAGAATACATGCAGTTACATAACACCATCTTCAATACTCTAGAAGACAGATGTCCAGACATGAGGTCTGACATCACATACATGACCAAACTCCCCCTGTCACACATGTTTAAGACTTCCCCTCAAAGGGAAAAACCCAAATCACCAAAAAAATCCAAAATACCAAATGTTGTACCCCAAAATTTTCTCTCCCATTTCATCAATATTTTCTCACCACAAGACCCTTGGAGCTCAAGATCAAGTTAGGGTTTACTCTGCTCAAGACTCCTCCTTGCACTGTTGACCCAAATTAGGGTTTGAGTTTTCACAAAGATGTTTTGACCTGAAATGCCCAAAATGACTTTCATGCTTCATGTTGGACTCACAAGTTTATCCATACCAAGTTTCAAGCCTTGATTCCAATCTTTGCCCAGTCAATTGGACAGTTGACCTAGAAATCAACTATATTGGGGAAAAAGTCAACTGTGGTCAATTGACAGTCAAACCTCATGATTTTTGACCCACATCAATATTATGAACTCATATGAACCATTTGATCAAGTTTGGATCATAATTCCACAAGAAATTTGATCAGATCACCAAAAGGGCAAAATGGTCATTTTTAGGGTTTTGACTGCACAAAGGCAATTTTTGACTGTTTGACCTAACCAATGGCAAACCAAACTCACATATAGACTCAAGGACTCAATGGAATTGTCTTGACATGTTCAACAAGTTCAAAAGATCCCAAATGCACAAGATTGACAGATGAATTTTCCAGTCAACTGAGCAAAATTTGACTGTATACTGGAAAGTCAAACTTTGACTTTTTGGTCAAAATCAAGTGCCAAGATTCATTTTTCATCAAGACATGTCAAATTATGAAACTTGTTCATCAAGAAATCA